AGTGCCATTTTCCTGCCGATACATCAGCGCATCCGTGATTTCTTTACTCCCCGCTGGGCGCTGCTCTGTGTCCCAGCGGAGAGGAGAGAAAGTGACAGCCGGCCGAGCGCTGCGAGACAAGAGCGCTGTGAGCGGCCGGTGTCTCTCCTCCCACACCACTCGGCTGCCTATCACAGTGCGGCAGAGCGGTGTGGGGGCGGAGACAGCGCTGTCACAGGAGGCTGGGCTCTCCTCTCGCACCGCTCACTCAGCCTCCTGTGATAGTGTGTATCAGAGAGGAGAGCAGGCTACATACACTCAGTGATCAGTGATTGCTGAGTGTTTGTAGATAATTGAGGATATGGTATGGTAAATATATCCTCAATTATGAATGAATGGGAGTGATCTATATCCACTCCTGTTCATTCATAATTGTGGTTATAGTAAACGTATTATATTCTCAAGTTATCAATGGACAGGAACACTCATAGAGGATTCCTGTTCATTGATAACAGGGGATACAGAAAAAGAGATGGAGGACTTTGTGTCCTAAATCTCTTTTTCTATTTTAAAAGGGATTTAGACCCCTCATATTTCCCCATAGCCACTAAAAGTAAAGTAAAAAATAAAATATATTTAATAAAAAATGAATAAATAAATTTAAAAAATATAAAAAAATTAAAAGTTTATAAAAAATAAATAAAAATAAAATATTTAATTTTTTTTACAAAATTAAAATAAAAACATTTTCGGTATCGGTTTCGGCCTGACAATTTTTTCTATTTTGGGTTTTAAATTTCTATTTCGGTGCACCTCTACTATATAGTATAGTGCAGGGGTAGGCAACTTCAGTGCTACAGCTGTGGTGAAAGCACAAATCCCATCATACATCTGCTTCTGGGAGTCATGCCTGAGTCTTGCAACGCCTCATATGATGTGTAGTTCCACAAAAGCTGTAGTTGCCTAACCCTGGTATAGTTTATAGAGTGATCTTAAAGTAGACATTGCACTAAAATGCTGCATTATGGGACAAATAAAACACTTTGGGAGAAAAGTAATAAAAAATATACCTAGGCAAGGTGAAGTCAGGGGGGGTTCTTGCAGGATCATAAAAACACGCTCCTGTACATTGCAATAGGGTCCTCTCGTGAGAATTGGGATCCAGGGCTTTCCCAAGATGCCCAAGGAATCTACCGAAACCCAAGAGTACGGTGAAAATTTTAATTCATATTTATTTATATAATGCAGTGTTTTGTGAATATAGGGTGGAAGCAGCCACATATGAGTACCTTAAAGAGATACTTAATGTATTTTTATATATGTGTGTGTTGGTCTGTTTGCATCTGTCTAATATTAATCTATTATGTTTACATTCACTCCATTCACTACAATTATCTGGTTGCTCTTGTCAGTTCCCCTTCTTCCTTGTTCTAAACTAACCATAAAAAGCACAAGAGCAAAGCCATGCTTGCATGGTCAATTTATGTCCAAGGGCTTGTTTTACCGATGTACAAGACACTATGCCGATGCAGGGTGTGCCCGTATCTACCATAGTCTGTTTACCCAACATGGGCCCGGCACAGCTCTGCCTCACTGTCAAAATGCAGCTGCCTGGAACTGCCCTGCTTTTTGGAACAAAGTGTAAACAAATGGGGAACGAAGCTCCCCATCTGTGAGTGATACAATGAGCTGCCCACCCTCCTCTAGCCAGACAAATAAACTAAAGGGCTGCTGTGCGATCACATAACTGCACAATAAAAGCTCAAAAAAGGTTAAAAATTATAAATAAACAAAATTAATGATGAATGGTTACTAAAAAATATGAACTTCATGAGTATGTATCTAAATACTTGTGCATTCACAATACACTAAACAATATACTTGTAGTGTCTGGAGCATTGTTGGTCAACTTATTAAATATAGAGGAACTCAATTACGGCCCCTGACATCACCAGGGGGTTGCACATAATATTCAGGATATATAATGCAACAGAAGATTGGCAGTGACAGACATATTAGAGATATTAGGGATGATCAGAGATGGTAAACAGATTACATGAGATGTTCAGAGACTGGGGGCATGCTATAGGAGTGATTTGAGGGCATCCTGCAGACAGTCAGATACTGGGGACATGATACATTAGATTGCTGAAGATAATTGCCATTACAGCCGGATTACAAATCATTACACACTTGACTGCTGGGGTTTGAGGGCAGCACAACAAGTACCATAGGGTCAAATGCAGCCATCTTGCCACATCTTGGGCACCAATGCTCTAAAGAGAAAGATTCCTCCAAGAAACTTCCATGCTCTCATCTTCTCCTGAGGGTAAAGGAGAAAAGATCCAGCCCATTCATTGCAACTGTATGGCACCCAAGCTCAATGTCTGTGGTCCCAGAGAGCACAGTATAAACTCTGATAAATGTTGAACAGCAAGGACTTACAGGTCATACAGCTAGAGTTGGATACACAGCAGTATTTAGAGAATAAGTGGACATATAGATCTCCATCATCATACAAGACAGTATATTATGTAATAACTTTGGATAGAAGTGTTCCAAATGTCCTTGAATGTAAATTTGAAATCTAAGCCACTTGGTTGGATCATCAGACAGCTACACATTAATACTGAAATTTAAAGTTCTACGAAATGCATAAAAAAAATATATTGTTTATTACAGATCTGTGACAACACAAGTAGCAGAAACAAAGGTAATTCGATGGCTGTCTTGCATTATTTAATGGAAACATATAATGTATATGATTAGTAAGTAACTGAGATTATTAAAGAAAGCATCACACAGCTCAATATTGATACATAAAACCCAATAGAAATCAGGAAATAGATCAAAGGAAGATGAATGATACATGTTTTGCACATTTCTTCTGTAATAAATAATCCAGAGAATGTTTTTCATTCTTGTCAATGCCTGATGATGGCAGCTGAAAGTTTGTTGTTTGCTATGGGCTACAGTATTTTGTACATCAGCATAACAATCAGAGCAGCTTTAGGGCCCATTCACACCAAACACATACCAAATGCATAGACACTAAAAATCAATGTATTGTAATGTGTGTAGTTCACACCATTGTGTTGTGTTGATGTGCATTTTTAAAAAGTAGAGCAATTTTTCTCACCAAGGTGCGCCTAAACACATGTAAATGCACCAGAATGCACTTAAACTCAAGTTTACTGAGCATACTAAAGATTTTTGTAGTCAAAGAAAAAATGCGACGGAAATAAAAAACACCTTAAAACACATGGAAATGCCCACTCAATGTGGGTGTTGCAGTGAGAAAAAGCCTTTATGGAATACGAATGATTAGCTGAAGTTGCAATGCCAGACTTTCATTTGTCATGGTGCATGCTAATAATAAAGACAAGACTTTTGCTGCAAAATCTTGTTTTGTCATATCATAAAATACATAAGCAGCATCTTCTTACATCACTAATGCCAGACACAGTGACAAGTCAAAATAACAATGCTGAATAAAGATCTTTGGAACAAGGCACATTCAGGTTTATTAAACAAAACTGTGCAAAGAGCAGTTAGGTTGGGAACAGTGCAGTTACCCCTAGCAACAAGTAACAAATTACTTAACTGATCTAACAGTAGAAAACTGACATTCTGACCGGTTGCAATTGGTTACTGCACTTTATGCCTAACTATTGACTTTTGCACTGCTCTATTGGCTTATCCTTAACGTTTTCTGTTTGTTTTTGTTGTTTTAGATATATCTATATATCTATAGATCTATATATCTATAGATATATAGATCTATAGATATATAGATATATCTAAAACACATATCTGTATGATTGTAAGGTCATAAACTTGTGTATGAAGTATTTGTATACAATTGATGTAAGAAATTGCGTTGGTGACAAAGCAGGAGCTTACAATTTTGATTAAACATTTTGCGTCACACAGAAACACATAGGTGCCAAACACAAACATGAGTGATGACACAATCAAGGTTATTTCAAAATTGTGTTCAAAGTGCAGTAACCCCTATCAACTAATCAGTAATCGTCTTTCATTTTCCCGGACAGACTAAACAGATGAAGAATGAAGTTGTTTTGCTGGAGGTTAATGCACTTTGTATTTCATTGCTCCTTTCATAAACTTGTCCAAAAAGCCCTAATGAGTTAAACATTTTAAGTGTAACAGTCACAGTACTTCCAAATAATATGGACTGCAAACTGAGACAGCTCCGTGGTTTTGGAGGTTGCCTTTGAATTCCCACATACTGTATTATATATTCACTTCGAAAAGTGTTACTTATTAAAAGGCAAGCTAGATTTTAGCAATACAGTTTGGTAACAAAAGCATCTGAACACTGCAGTGATCAAAGAATAAAGTATTAAGAAACCCTAGGACACCCTCTTAACACCTCACAGCTGCAGTGGGAGAAATAAATCAAGACTTCCAGCAGATAAAAACATCAACATGTTCTCTTTTCTGCGAACTTAAAACTTTATGTCACCATAAAAACCCTTAAACAATTAGCCCTTAACAGAAAGCAAACAAGAAAAACAAACTGTACTACATCTAAGTAAGTTGAAACACAGTCCGACAAAGTAAAAGATGACTTACCTAAATATTGGTTTTTGTAGGTGCATTTTCTTAATTGTAATACAGTCACCCATTTAAATTTAGTGCAGAGTGTAGATTTCCCAAAATTGAACCACCAGAACAAAATGATAAAAGAAAGAAAAAGGTCCAGAAACCAAAATATACATAAAATAGATCTTCAGCTATTGTGCTGCACACAGTTCAGAAAGTATGTTGTGCGTTCGAAGGAGTTTACCCTCTTTAACTGCTGGGAGAAAAAAATCCATTGAGGCCACATAACTGTGCACACAACTTAACAGAGCGAACTGCACAAAAGCACATGTTTAGAGTTGACTGAGAAAGGAGAAGGGCCACAGTCACAGACTACTAAAGTCTGCAAGGAAAAGTGAAACTCAGCCAAAAGCATTTGAAGCTTTCAAGAAAAAAAAAAAGTCAGCAAGTTCTCATAGTGTAGCTCTGAGAATATGCTCTGCTTATATTCGTCAGAGCTCCTAAAACATATGGGCATTCCGAGGCATTTAGACGTCTGCTGTAAGCCTGGCTTTATTATTATTATTTCTTTTTTTTGTTTGAGCTGAAAGTTTCAGGGCTGCGCAAGAGTTTTCCATGTTCACGTCGTAAGAAAGTTTGTTCAGTAAGAAGAACTGTACACAAATCAATAAAGACGGATAGATGCAGTCTGTGTGGCTGGCTGCTTTTCAAGAGATTATAATTACTTTACAATCTGGCTTTTATTCCCTCCTGGATGTGAGGTGTAGAGAGGCCGGGGCAAAATTAAAGGGTTACCTTGTTTGTCTGGCACTTTTCACCGTGGAGGGTATTCCAGATTATGAGAGGACATAGTGTTTAGAAAACACGTAAATAACACTCCAAAATAATATTATGTAATGACAACATAAACATAAACTTGTAAACTAAAAATACAAGTTACCTTTATTTTAAGGAACATTCCAAACATTTAAAAAAGCATACACTAAAAGAGACAGTTTACCTTTTGAGTGACTGTTTTTTATCCTGGCGTTCATCTTGTGTAGCTGTCTACCCCATTAATTAATTCTGTAGGGCTGCTGGAGTCTATATTTTCTAAATGGCCTGTAAAGACCTAATCCAGCCAACTATTTTTGTATTCTAGTTTTGTACAGAGGATGGAAGGATTAGAACCCATGCTAGGTTTGCTAACTCTGTTTGCGTTGTTGAGATTTACCCTTACTTCCTGTCCAGGTGATAGGGTTTTACAAGGGCAGGAAGAGAAGGGATATCTTACTAATGGGGGCAGAGACAGGAACAAAAGGGTGTAGGTGATAGGGTTTTACAAGGGCAGGAAGGGAAGGGATATCTCTCTGATCGTAACAGAGACGGGAACAAAAGGGTATGGGTGATAGGCATTTACGAGTGCAGGAAGGGATAACTCTCTGATGGGGATAGAGACCGGAACAAAAGGGTATAGGTGATAGGGTTTTACAAGAGCAGGAAGGGAAGGGATAGCTCTCTGATGAGGGAAAGACCTAAATAAAAGGGTATAGATGATAGGCTTTTACAAGGACAGGAAGGGAAGGGATATTTCTCTGAAGGGGACAGAGACAAGAACAAAAGGACATTTGTTTAGTAGAGTGGGGAGGGGAGGGGTTAGGACATCTGTCAGGTTTCTTCTATTTTCAATAGATTTTTATTTGGTTTTGCACTGATCACACAATACAAGGTCTTACATAGCATTAGTAAGAGCATTTAAAATATATGCTAATCGCAGCAATACTAGCATGTGAGTAGGCCATCAAAGTGTCACCCAAATGAGAGTGAGTTCTTACCCAAGTAGTATACATAAAAGCGCTATAGTCAGTATTTATCTGTCCACTAATATAAAGATGCACCAATGAAAGACAAAACAAAGAGCAAGAAGTCGAAGCAATAACAATACAAAATAGTATATGCAATAGAAGGGAGGGAGACATGGAGGGAGGGGGGAGTGGAGGGAAGTGGGAAAGAGTGGGGAGTGGAAAGGGGTATCAAGAAGGGTAGAGGGGAGGGAACCCAGTGTGGGTGACCTGCACAAGAGTACTTAAAATCTCCCAATTACAAGAACCTTCTGTCAAAGGTGGGTAGCAGAGATTGCCTAACCTAAGTGGACATCTTATCTACAAGTCATCTTTTCAAATATCATGGTCTCCTTTATCCCACTCTTGACCTCATGAAAGCTCTAGATCTGCAATTTCCAGGATTCATCTGTCAGGTTTTTATTCCTCTGTCTTCCCATACTAGTGACACTTGCACCATTTCATTTTCTGTGTATGGGTAGGAGACTCTCGATTTGAAAACAGTTTTGTCTTACAGTATAGCAGGATGTCTGCATTTTGGAGTGCAGTGACTCTGACTAAGCAGCTGACAAGCATGGATGACTTTTAAAGGACTGTACTTGAAGACCACACAAACAGTTGGGAGTTCAGGTGTAATTGTTTAAAGTTAAGCTAAATTCCACTGTGCGTGGGTAAGCTTTCACCATAGTGTGCAAATATACACAGCATACTTGCAAATTATGGTACACTCACCTCTCAGTATACCCTCCCCCAACTGTCACAGGTCCAGCCACCAGTCACTGTTCTGTCAGTCGAGTCCTCACCATCTCCTCCAATGCTTCTCCTTGGTTCCACAATACTCCTCATTAGCCCCTGAATGACCACTGATGGTGTAACTCTTGCATGCATGCATCATCCCCAGGACTTAGCTTTATTCTCCGCAGGCTGAGAATGAGCCAGTATGCATACAACACAGCACATGCGCTGTTAGGTATGCATTCCAAGAGAAAATTTGCTAAGAGCATGGGGTAAAGGGTACATTTTTATTAGAGAAAGAAACTCCTACTCCTAGATAATTTCCAAAGTTAATACGCTCTAATCACAAAACTCCAATCTGACAAGCCAAGATGTTTCTGGGGTTCTGAGGGCCCTCCTTCACCAGGGCATTAGGCGCTGATGGTAGCATGTAGATTTGTATTTGTGAATAAAAGATAATAATCCCATAAATTAGAAAGCAGGATCCTGCAGCGCTGCAAAAACAGTAGTTGGATTCTGTTTTCAAGTTTATAGGTCCTATAGCGATTCTATAAAGATAAATAGGAGAACCAAAACATCTCTTCCATTCATCTGTGCAGAACCTGTGATTGTGCCTGCACAGTGCAGCATGGGTGATTGGCTGAAAAACAGAATTAAGCACTGTGAGCTGAAGGGCAGGTCCCTCCCTGCATCTGAGGTCTGTGTGTGGGCATACTACATAGAAATGGATGAGGAGCCCCTATAGAACTTGAATGTTTTGACACAAGGGCATGTAAAATTGGCTGAATGATCCTATAATCCTCTAAAACCTATTAGCTTTAACCTGTATCTGCATATATTTAGAAATATGGTTGTGGTGATAATTTAATCAGAAAACATTGTAAGGTCAATAAAATGAAGGCTCTAGTCTTCATAAATGCAATTGTCAGATATTCAGATCAGTTATTCAAATAATGATTATAGCTTTCTGTCTCACAGTTTGTTGTCTATTCTGGTGCTCAGGCACTATAAAGATGCCACATAATAACAAGCAACTATGAATTATTTGTAGCTGTTGTCTCTCAGATAATACACTCTATTTGCTGCCTATTCAAGTGTTCATGTACTGTCCTGATGCTGGCAAATTTCTGCCAAAAGCACAAAAGTCTAAATGTTGGGGGATAATTGAGGGTATGGAGGATGGACAGTGGTGCAGGGAATGTGGAGTCGTGATTTTGGGAACAAAAGACACAGTGTTGCGGATTGCCACCATTACCCCCCTCTTTTTCTTTGTAGGCATGTTGGACATATATACAGCATTATAGTTCTTGTGAGAACACAGTGGCACATAATCCGTCCGAAAGTGTGTTTCCTGGGCACAGACTATATCTGCATCAATTTTAAGAGCGTCCCTCCAAAACCAGGAGCGCTTAGCTGGATGGTTTAAACCTTGGGTGTTCAATGATAGAATTTTTAAAGACATGTGTAGAGGGATGTACTGGTGGGATCAGTAAAGGAATTTACATAGCTGAGCATTCCAGGAGCAAGGGATATCTGGGCCCAACAGACTTCCAATGTCACAATGAGGTGTATCTGTATAACCGCATCCGTCATTTGTAGTCTGTAAATTCTTGAACATGAAGAAAAAGAAAAAGAGAACAAAAAGGAAAACAAAAAAAATGTAAACAGGTAACATAAAGATCACCTTAGTATAACCATGTACAGAGGTGAGTTAAACGAAAACTGTATGCAGTGCAATACTGCTCAACACTTGTTGGGGAGAAAACAACAATGCTTGGCTACACAAAGCTTGCTCGGATCTCTCTGGAGAGAAATTGACATGTTTGCTGTCGAGGCAACACAATCGAGTCCCTACTCCTTCAGGTCGGAGGAGATCTGCTTTTCTGGGACTTTTTCCACTCCGGGTCCAACCTCCTGGGATCAGGAGACGACGTCTGAGGTGGGGACTCTTCCGGCTCGATGTTCCAGAGGCGGAGAACACAAACAACTTCCTCCAAGGTTGAGATAACGTGTGGCGCTCCTCTGTGGGTGAGGAGAATCTTAGTCGGGAATCCCCAGCGATACGTGATGTGGTGCTTGCGGCGTGCTCTGGTAATGGGATTCATCATTTTCCTCCAATTCAGAGTGTGTTGTGACAAGTCAGGAAAAAATTGCAACCTGGAGTATTGCTCCGGCATGTTTGAGGTAGATCTCGCTCTCGCCAGCAGTTGCTCTTTAACGTGAAAGAAATTGATGCGCAGGATAACATTGCGCGGGATCAATTCCGGAAGAAATGAGGGTTTCGGAAGTCTGTGGATTCTGTCCACAATCAATTCAGTATCAGATAGGTCTGACAGCAGGGTGCGAAATAGAGCGGTGACATATGAACGCAAGTCCTGAGGAGGGACAGCTTCAGGGATGCCCCTGATCTTTATGTTGTTTCTGCGAGACCTATCTTTCAGGTATGCTAGTTTTGATTTAAGCTTGTCTACCTCATCTTTACTGTTGTCGTGCACGTCTATCAGGTCGTTGATAGTGGACGCAAATTCCCCCATCTTGGTCTCAACATGGTTTACTCTGCCTCCTATGGCCGAAACATCTGAGCGGAGGTCTTGCACCAGGGAGACCATGTCAGTATGTATGGCACTCCTTAACGATATAAGCATCTCTTTCAGGGTGGTGTCCAGAACTGGCTGGTCAGACGTGGGAAAGCTGTTGATTGAGCTGTGTAGCTCTCTAGTATCATCCATAGAGGATGTAAGCTGGCTCACCTCTGCTGGAACACGGTGTCCCCCTGTCATGCGGGGCCTGGATTTAGCAGGACTGCCGTTCGGGGTAGATGCCTGAGATGAGGGA